AAATATACTTATGTTTTCAATTAATTAATAAACTGATAATTTAACTTAGCTATAAGTACTCAAAAAAAAAATTATTGTTTTTTTTTAATCCATAACTGGTATTAGACATGAAACTTTATTTAGTAATTTAATTGTACTATCATTACATCAAATATCTCTATATATACAGATTAATATTAACCTATCATAACAATTCTAACTAGACCTACTACTACTTTAAAAGTAGACATATTTAGCTAGTGACCAGATGATTAATAAATAGTTATAAATGGCAATACTAGGTTAGTTAGTATAGGGTTCATGTGACTTTTTAAATTTATTAAACTAGTTCTTTCTTGTATGTACTTGACAAAATGTAAATACCTTTCAATATTCTCAAATATTATTTACTTAGATCTCAGAAGAGGGCATATTATTTTTTTTATCATCACATGTAACATCAGATTAGTCCTTATTAATTGATTTTTAATTAAGTGGAGCATCAGATTAGAATATCCTAAGCTAGAAGAGTGGGATTCTGAAAACTACTAAAGCAGAGTGGACTTGAGGTATTTAATGGAGAGGCTAGATTAGAAGCCTTACTTTGTGCAATTTTTCTAATAGTATAACCTTCAGTTTTAGCATCTGATCGATAAAAGATTAAAAGTCTTATCTTAATGTAACCTAATCTATTTCAGACTGGTTCTAAATAATTGGATATGACTTTCATAGGATAATTAGTAAACCTGATTAGAAAGACAATTTCGATTAAAAAAAAATTATTTTTAAATTATATTTAAAGAAAAAATCTTTAATAATAGATAAATTAATATGTGAAAATCATTTAAATTATAATTATTTTTATTAATTCATAATAAAGATAAGTTATATTAGATTGATAATAGACTAAAAAAATAATAAAAAATAAATATTTAAAGATAAAATAACTTGTGAATCTATAATATAATGATAATACTTCTAGGTTATTAAATACTATTTTGAAGTTCAATATTACTATAAGACAATACTAACCATAATATTAGATAATATAAACTGATCTTATTTGATCAATAATAATAATTTTATTATTTTTGACCAAAACTTTATCTAATTATAGGAAATGCAAAGATCAAAAAAATATTATTATTAGTTTTATTATTACATTATTTTGTTATAAAACATATTCTTATAATATTTCAAAAAATAGATAATAATTTGCATATTATAAAATAAAAAAAGTTAATAAAGTCTAGATATATTAATTTAAAAAAAATTTTTTATTAAATTTAATATTTATCTAAAACTTTATATGATTATTTCATAAATATATTATAATAAATTATATAAAAAAATATAGTTTAATAAAACAAGATAATATCTTTTTTTTTGAAAAAATATTGACTCAGCCTTGTTTTATTAGAGTCTCAAGTAAAGGTAAAATATAAATACGGGATATTATTACTAATAAAACATTCTTAAGATTATCTATAAGAATTAAAATTTTATACTACTATTACCATATTGATTCCATAAGCTGGTTACTCTTCATGAGTTTCATCAATTGAGGATATATTATCTGTTCCTCAACTACTTTTAATATCTCCATATTGTAAAATTATAACCACTTCAATCCACGAGATAACTTGTTATCAGGGTGAATTACTCGAATCAATCTTATTCGTACATCAGAAAAGAATATTCATCAATTTTCTTAGATTTCTCTTAATACATATACTCAGGTGAGACACATTATCCCTCAAAAAAAAAATTTGACCCCTATATCTTACCTATTATAAAACTTAACTTTGCTATGGTAACTTTGTTTCAAATCTTTACCTATTCAATAGAGCTAATGAAAAAATCTATTCAGTGATTAGAAGTAAGAGGCTATAACTATAAAATTCAGTTGTAGTATCTTATGATCTTACTATAGTCAGATGGACTCTTTCTTGAAAAAACCAATAATGTAACAGATAAATGACCTATATCTACCTGCACTAGACTCAATGACTTATGATGGATTTCAGATTTTTATAGAGTTGAAAAAATATATTCATATACATGAGGTGACCAATGAGAACTTATTTACATTCTTTTATTAATATGAGTTATCTATCCAATCATAGTATGAGAAACTTTATACTACTCAAAATTCAGAATTAAACTGAGGTAGGCAAAATTCCTCAGAAAAAATTAAAAATGAGCACTATAAGAAGGTAACAAGTGACAAGAGAGTGGAAAAGTTATCTTTTATCATACAGACTCTTCTGTAACGTTTTTTTATAGTGTAAGATGATGGCACATTAGTTTTTCTTCCTTTCAAAACTTTCTTGTTATTGGTAGGAAAGAGTTTTTTTGACCTTTATGATTACTAGAGGTCAAGTTTTTGTTTGAAAAGGATAGTAAGCAAGGGAAAGAAGAGTAGTTAATGACTCTTGAAGTTTCTTCAAGTTGGTTTAAGAAAAATAGTAAGACTTTATTGGCTTAGAAATATAAAAACTTCTTGTGAACATATTTTTTGTGTGTAGTTAGAGAATCAGTGGAAAGAGTAAACAAGATAATATCTAAGATTTTATATAATATTTTATAGATATACTATAATAAATAATATAAAAAAAATATCTGATAAGATGAAATATAAAAGGATCTTGTGTTACAAATTTAAAATTTGTTAAATAATTCTAAAAAGATAATATAGATATAGGTAAAAAATAGTAAAAATTTTTTTACCAACAAGTTATAAGGATAAAACTATTCATAAATAGGTTCTTTAATACTTTTAATTATAAAAAAATATTAAGAAACATATAGTTATTAATATATATAAAATAGTTTTGTATATAGAAAAAACTTGTTATATATAGTAGTAACTAATAATGGATCCTTAAAATATTTAGTATATAAAATTTTGCAAATTACTTATGTCTTTTTTTTAAGGAATAAAATTCATAACTCTTCACTTTAATATGAATAAAAATCAAAAAATATTATAAATCAATGATTTAAATAATAAAAAACAATTGTGATTAGTTTTTTAATAGTTATTAATTTAAAAATTTTAATATTTCCTAGTGAGGAACATTTAACTTTTGTTTTTGCCTCTCTCTTTAAAAATCTATTTTTAGTAGTGACCTATAACTTTATTATAATTGAACTTTATAAATTTCTAAAAAAAATAAAAAATAAAAAATAAAAAAAATAATTTATTATTATAAAATTTTAATAATTTATTTTAAAAATAAAAAAATCTTTAAATATTTTATAACTAATATTTATTTTTTTAAAAAAAAAAAACTTTTTTATTATTAAAAAATAATAATAAATTTTAAAAAAAATTTTTTTAGATTTTTTTTAAAAATATATTAAGATTTTTATACAAATATCTTTATTACGTGTAATTAAAGGATTAATAAAAAGTGTAAAAATAATATATACTGTACTGTATATATTAAAAGTTAAAAATTTAATAACTTTTTATTTTTTTTAGCATTGCATGCATCTGGTTTTAAAAAATTATTTGGCAAATTATATCATGAAATCAAAGAATATTCGACAAATCAAAATCAAGCAATGCTTAATGATCAGATGAGGACAATTCCTTTTTTATACGTGACCAAAAATTTTTTTTCTCCATTAAAATAATAAACACTCATAAGAACAAGAGAAGAGTAAAATCTGTTTCATCCCCACCGTCTCAAATCACATTCACAAAAATGGGTTCATATGAGCATGACACACAGCAAACGAATCCGGCAGGAAAAAATAACCACGCCGCCACGGACGTAGCCGATACACAGGAAGTAAAGAATCTTAAAACTCAATATAAAAATGAATTAAACACTCTACAGGAACTATTCGCGAATTGGACGGAAGCAGATTTGCTCTTTGCACTACAAGAAGCTTCAGGGGACCTCGAAGTTGCGGTTAATCGAATCAGTGAAGGTTTGTTTCTTTACAACCATTAAGAAACTCCACGACACAATAAGAGCCTTAAAAGCCCCATAAGTTATAAAGACTTTTAACTTCATAAACACGAAGTTTTAGTAGTTAAAATTATTTCTTATCACCTTCTTTGGTATTATATATTTTAAAATTTCAAAAAGTTATATCGCGTGTAATACGCGGCTTTTACGAATTTCATAAAGTGTGTTAAGAATTTTTTAAAGAAGATACCACTTTTGATTAAAATAATAATCTTTATCATGTCGCATAATAAAGCTAACAAAGATTCAAATTTATTGAATTAACCCTATGCATTTTCTTGACAGGCCATACTACTCAATGGGGTGAAGTTAAATCTCGCAAATCTAAGAAAGAACACAATCATAAGGCGAAAGCAAGCGGACAACAACCTGGAAGTTCTCGCGGACATCAACGAGGTGGTCATAGTGACCGTGGCCGGCCCCGCGGTGGTATGCATATTAGGCATAAATAAGTTGAGCAAACTAGTCATAATATTTAATATGTGAATTTATTACACTTGTATTATAGAGGGTGGATTTCGTGGCGGAAGAAACGATCGTTCTCGAGGGCCAAGAAAGGAGAATGGCTCGGGTATGTTATTAGTAGCTTTAGGAGTTTAAAGTTTATTTGTTTAATAACTTTCAAATATTCCAGTATGCATAATTTGGTATTGTAGGTTATACTCGACCTCCACGACAGCAAAATGGACCCAGTTCCAATCACGATGACACAAGCAACGGTGCTCACTCCAAATGGGGTACCGAAAATGCTAGTGGGAACTGGGGCAACAATGAAGGCACTGGTGGCGATTTAAATGGTAACTCTAATGAAAGCTGGTCCGATTCCAAAGGTCCTGCATGGAGCACCGAAAATAACGCCACCAATGACTGGAGTGCTGACAATCCAACCCAAGGTTCATGGAGTAATGACAATGCAGCGGACAATAATGACGTCAGTTTGGAAAACGACACTTCCACTGATAAAGGTCAGAATAGTAGGACCATTGACGTCCATACAGAGCATTCCCAGGTGGTCCTGAATGATAATGATACCATTAACAATTCCGGAGGTTGGACAACCGAAAGTACAACGGAGAATGCTAAGGATAATTGGGTAACTGACAACAAAATGGATAATCTTGGAGTAAATCGAGAATCCGATAAATCCACAGAGAATTCAAAGCATTTACGTGAATCCAACATTGTTAAAGAAAATAATAACACCCGGGACACTGATAACTCCAAAGATAGTTGGGGTAATGAAAATAGTCGGACTTCAGATACACCAAAGGAAAACTGGGGATCTGAAGCTTCCAAAAATGGTAAGAATATAAGGGATGCACAAAAATCACCAAAACCTGGTGCATCTAGGTCTATTACGGCAGTAAAATCACCTGTACCTCATAAATCTCGGACAATTCCTTCGCAGCCCAAAGCATCCTGGGCTCAAATTGTGAAGTGTGTATTAATAATTCAATTTTGGAACTATAGTTTAAGCATATAAGAAATCTGTAAAAATTAATTTTTAATCGCCTCATGTTTAAACACATTGTAACATTCTGGTGGTTCGGTAGGCCTGAGCTGAAACCGGAACCAAAGCCCGAACCAGTCTCTGCGCCTATACACAAGAGTTCACCAGAAATGGTAAAATCAGTATCTCCACAGATATCGAAATCTCCATCAATTCCTGTACAGTCTTCACCAAAGGTGCCGGAGCCAATTAGTGTTCCATCTCAAGAAACGTTAGCACCTGTTATAACGGTTGTTAAAACGGAGGAAATCAAGGAATCTATAAAAGAGATTCCATCACCTGAACAATCAACCACGACCCCTGCAACCTCATCTCCGGTCGCTAGCGCATCACCACGAACCAAAGAAATATCACCACCAGGACTTCTTTATAAGTCCAAGACGGGAGCACCTACGCGTCGATTAAAACAAGATGCAGCAGTGGTGATGCCAAGTGTTGGTGCAGGATTGGAAAGGGTTGGCGTGCAATTTGGCAGTTTAAGCATCTCCAATGTCGGTGAAGAGATCACAGAGATAGAGACGCCGGCATCTCCTCCGGTTCAAAATATCGAGGAAACGTCGCAACACTCACAACCACCGGCCACACCCGTTCAACAGCCACCATTACAGCAACCATCAACTCAGCAGCAAGCCGTGCAACCACCGACGACGCAACAAATGCAACAGATTACCACCACACAACAGCAACAATTGCAACAGACGGCACAACAACAGCTTCAGCAACAGTTGCAACAGCAGGCGCAGGCGGCACAACCATCAACTTCTCTTCCACAGACGAACACCATAAACCGATCAATTCCGACCTCATCAACACAAAGTAGCGCTTTGCAATCATCTGTAAGCAGCGTTCCACCTTCTACGCCATTGACTACCGTTCCAACACCACCACAAAATTTCAATCCTTCATATTTTAAACAGCAACAGGAGCAGCCAACTTCTGCCGCCTACTTGAATCAGCAACATCACATAGGGTTAGCGGGGGAACCACTAAGCGCTCCGTACAGTTCATATCTGCACAGTCAACCTCCTAATCAATTATCGGGATTCGGTATTGGTCCAATGCAATCATTACCAGATTACGGAGCGTTATACGGACCAGAAGCTCAGCGCGTAATGGTGCTCAATTAATATATGATCACACTTTACTAACAAATTTCCATGTAATTACATTTATTGATAATTTTTGTGCACTTTTTTTTTTTTCCTTCGACACAGGGATACTATGCCGATCCTTCATATGGCCAAGCGTCTCCGTCCACCGGATATCAGAATCGAGATAATAACAAATACAATGCGCCCGATACGACCACCAATTCAAGTCAAAGCTCCACCCAACAAAATAATACGCAGCAACAATCCACAAATCAACAAGGACAAAATCCCCAACAACCATATCCAGTGGGAGTTCCTTATTACCCCTATTACTATCTTCCTTCTTATCAGCAATCTGGGTACGGTCAACCTTTTGTAAATAAATCCATGTATCCCGTGTATAATCATCCTCATTCGACAAAACCTGGATCGGCTTCGGGCGCAACACCTTATGGATACCCTTCGACACCCACCACACCCAACGCACCGCATCACTATTCGCATACTTCTACTACGGGTTACGAAGACATCACGGCAGGACAAATGCATCATCTTCCCGGTGTACCTAACGTTCACGAATATAAGGCCTACGGTGGTGGCGGCATTCCTCCTCTTAACTTCTTGGGCAGCACGGCAGGTAACACACCCCAGCCTGCGTCCGGAACCACCGGATCGACTGCATCCAGTGGGAAGGCCGGCAATAACGGAAGTTCAGAATTGAATTCCCCCGCTCAGTACAAGGGGTATGGCGACAAAACCTCGACAGCCGCCCAACAAACTGGGGTAGGACAATCCGGTGTCCAGCAGCATCAGCAACAACAGCCTACAAATCCGAATTATTATGGACAACAACAGGCTCAACAAATGTTCAATAGCTATCAATATCCACAGCCACATCACCAATATCACCCGCATCAGGCGCATCACCAAGCTACCGGTCGCAATCAGCAATATTGGAGTAATCAAAGCTAACTTAATTGGAGGTTTGTAAAGGATGAACATGAAAAAAATTTAATAATTGGATGAAATGGTGTGTTTTTGCGCGGTCGGACTATTTTCTACCAATCGTCAACGGTTGAAGAGTATCTTATCAGATTAACATTTATGGTTTGAGACTTTGTTATTTAGTTATTTTACATACAATAATTATTAATGCTTGAATCAAGCGGCCAAAGCTTTTGTAGAAAAAAATTTTTTCTTCCTTGTTTCCGCCTTATACCTACAAAACAAAATGGTCAAATCATTCACTCCCCCATCATCGATTATGTATATCAAAACAAAACAATTTAAACTATCAATGCTATTTTAACTCGAAAAAATAATTATCCAAAACTTTTTTATTGCCAGGAGTTTTCAATTTATTAAAAATGCACTATACGTTTGTCACATACTGTAAGTGATTGAAATTTCGGTTGCAGGGGTTTACATCATAATATTAATATACTTGAACAAAATAAATATGTAACCCTATCAGGTTATGCATGCTTTATTAAATCAAAGTAAATTGTACATGCTCATACTATATGCCTATATAATGCTAAAGTCGAATCTACGATTAACTTATTTATCTTTATCAATTTGATTTTAAACATAACTTTAGAAGTGATTTGTAATTTTGTTTACTATTCAATAAATATTTTTTTGACCATAAATTTATTATCTATATATAAAACACTAGAATAGGTTTTCCAATGTGTTTTTTTCTTATTCAGAAATAGTGGCATTATTTTAGTTTGTATATTGTAGCTTGTTCAATTCATTCTTTGTAATGACTTTTATAAGAGATCCTGGTTTTTCTTATTTTCTTGAGCATGTTTTTGAATCAAGAGAGGATTAGTTTCTTGTATTTGCCATAGAAAATTTGAACTGCTTTTCAATTTTTAAGTATTATTGTAATGGTATTGATAAGTTAATTTAAAAATATAATTTTATGTCTTTTTAAGAACATAATAATCTTTTTATATTCTTTGTCATCTTATAAAATTAATTTGATAAAGAAGATATCTTCCTGATAGTCAAAAGTATTTTTTCATTTTCAACTTTAAAATATGATTTGTAATTTATTAATCAAAGCTAATATTGTATTGCAAAGTTTTCTTTAATAAGCTTGTTTAATTCTATAAAATTGTTTAAAATATCTTCAAACTTCTAGCATTTTATCAAACTTTGTTTTAAACAAATTATAAAAGTAATATCAGAGGTATTATTATTATTGTATTGATAAAATGGTAATAATATATGACCTTTTAATTCTATTTTTTAAATATTTTTAAGTTCATATATCTTTTTTTTTTTTTTTGAACATTTCAAAGTTTCAAAAGTTCCAATTAATAATAAAAAAAATTAAATTTTTAACATTAATATAAAAGTTATTAACTATATTAGTTATATAAAATTGTCTTGTCTTTTTCAAAATATATTTTAAATTTTTTTAGATTTAACAATTTAAATTGTATTATCTATATAAATAATTATAGATTGTTTTAAGAAAAGCTTAACTTTTTCTTTAGATTTATAGAAGTTAAATAATTATTTTTCTTTTATGAAATATTGAAATTAATAGTATTTTGAATTTTATATAACAAAAATTCATAATAATAATATAAGATTGTTTCTTCTTAGGTTATATCATTTTCTACTATTATTGGATTAGAAAGTTTATTAGATATAATAATATTATAATTTCTATTATTAAACAAATCTACTAAGAACTTTTTAATGATAAAAGAAATTTTAATTCTATTTATTGCTCTTTTTAATATAAAGAGACTTATGATTACTTTTTAAAGTTTTAGAATCAACCTTACAAATCAGTTCAAGTACTTTCAACTTTTGCATAAAATTAGTAGAAAATGACATAATCAAAAAAGTTGCTAATCTAAACTGTTATAGAAAGAAGCTAGGAACATTAGCAAAAAAATAGATTCTAAAAGTACAAAAGAATATTTGCAACCAGATCTAAAAACAAGTCTGGAACGTGAGATGTAAAAATATTATAGAATGGAAACAAGAACAAAAAATTGATAGAAGAGCAAAATATAAGAAGGCCCAAGAAGCCAGAAGGCAAGACCTGCAAGATAATTCTAGTTATAAAAGCACAAGAAAAAGAGAAGAAATAAAAGAAAGGGAAAACAAAAACCTGATAGAAATTATAAGAAATGAAATTAAATATAGAATAAAGTGGTTGGGGTTTTAATCCTTGTTAGAACATCGTACAGTGATCTGCAGTAGTGATCTGCAAGTGATAATGTTAGAAGTTGGAAGAGTTTCTATCTGAACTACTAACAGAGCAATAAATCACTCCTGAAGTTGCACTTAGAGTCTTAGATAAATATAAGACTTTGACAAGTAAATTAATTAAAGATTTAGCTTTAGCAACACATATATAATGTATAGCTTACAATTGTTTAATAAAGTACACATAACTAGCCTGACAGAGGGTTATAATAAAAAAAAAAAATTACTTTCTAAAGTTTAAATTTACTTACTATATTTATTATAAATTTTAAATTTTTCAGTTTTTCAATTCTTAATTATATAATTAAAAAATATAAAATTTATATATATTATATCTTAATACTAGTTTTATTTATTATATTTTTTTCAAAAAATTTTTATAAATAATATAATTATTAATAAAAAAATAAAAATATTTAACAATAATAAAACTTTTAAAATTAATCATATAATTTTTTTTTTTTTTTTTTTTTTTTTTTTTTTTTTTTTTTTTTTTGTTTTTTTTTTTTTTTTTTTTTTTGTAATGTTAGCACAGTTATGTTTTATTTGAATATAGTAGATATTATATATATAATATAGATAAGCTACTGCTATTTTTCAAGTAAAACTTCAATAGGAAAAAACCTATCTTGTAATAGTGCCATCCTTTCTTAAAAATAAAGGAACTAGTAAAGGGGTCTACTAGTATGAAAAATTAAGAAAGAATCTATGTTATTTGTATTTGAATCAATGTGTTCCTTAGATTTAAACCTGACAGTGATGGTATCTATCCAACTACTATAATTCTATCTTTTAGGCTATCCTATAACTACAAATAAAGATTATACAAGATTAAATAGGAAAGAAGACTTTGCATACAACTAAGAAGGTATTGGTGGAAAAGAGGAGTTGATCTTGATATAAAGTAATTTGAAAGTCATACTACTACTATTACTTTTGTATTGTCAGCTGGTTACTCTTCGAGGGTTTCATTAATCCAGGTCATAATACCTCTTCTTTAGCTACTTTCAGTACAGCCATGTTGTGGTTTCTTGTCTCCTAGCTCCAGTTCTTTCTTTTAATTTTCACCTTACTCTATCTAGTATAGGATCTCTGTCAATATTCTTCCAGGTGATAATAAGTCAGAGAGTTGCGAGGGGGTTCTAGAATATAAGGAAAAAGTAACTTGATGATATTATCAGAATGTCTTCCCTTAGGCTATATAAGCACTGGAAGGAAAAGGCCCGTCATCCAATAACCTGTCCTTATTTGCCATTGCGATGGTTCTATCCTAGAAAAAAAAGCCTTGACATGTCCGGCTTGTGCTTTATTGGATTTGATAAATATTATGCTGTTTTTTTCAGAGTACTACTATCTTGAAAGGTTGAGCCATAGTTCTTTTTTCTTTAGACTGCATATGGGTCTTGTCTTTTGATTAATACAAACAATAAATCTCCTAGCCTACCAATCTAATGCTTCTAAAAGATAGGTGTAATACTTTTTAAGTATTATCCTCTTTTTATGTACTTTTGAGTCTTATTGTAGATATAGTTTTGCTTGATATATTCATATAGTATGTTGTTGGATTTCTTTCTTAATCAAGGTACTGATATAGAAGAGACTGTATCCTATATCTACCTGCATCACATTACTAATATCTTATAGTGAGCTCCAAGTTTTTATAAAGCTGAAAAAATGTATTCAGACACATGAAGTGACCAATAAAAGCTTGTTTACATTTTTTTACTGACATGTTTTCTGCTAGCCAATCATTGCTTGAGAAACTTTGTGCTACTCAAAATTTAGGGTCAAACTGAGGTAGGCAAAATTTCCCAGAAAAAACTGAGAAAGAGCACTCTTAGAGTCAAACATATAACAAGAGAGTGGGTAGTTGCCTTCAAGATAAGTCTCTTATTATAGAAAAGACTCTGTGTTGTTTCTCTAGTATATAAATAGATGGTAGCACTTCAGTTCTTCTTCCTTTCAGAACTTTCTTGCCATTGGTAGAAAAGGTGAGTTCATGACTTCAGTTACTAAAAGTCAGGTTTTTACTTGAAAAAAATATTTACAAGAGAAAGGGGAAGGTAAAGATGATTCATGAAATGTTATTTCAAGTTGGTTTAAGGAAAGTGGTAAGACTTTATTAGTCAAGAAATATGAAAATTTCTTGCAAACATCTTTTTTGTGTATGGTCAGAGGATCAGTGAAAAGAATTGATTTTTAATCATATAATTAATAATTATAAAAATTATATATACTATATAATATAATATTTTAATATTTATTTTATTTCTTATATTTTTTAAAAAAAAATTTTATAAATAATTTCTAATCTTTTTTTATTGTTAAGTATTTTTATTTTTATTTTTTTTTTTAAATCCTCTGTCAGACTAAATATGTGTGCTTTATTAAATATATGTATGCTTTACATTAAAAAATATATCACTAAAGCTAAATCTCTACTTAACTCATTTATCTCTATTTTACCGAATTATTAAAACTCTAAGTGTAACTTCAGGAGTAATTTATCGCTCTGTTAACAGTTCAGATAAAAATCCTTCCAACTGTTAACTTCATTGCCTATAGATCACTACTGCAGATCATCTTGCAAGATTCTAACAGAGCTTAAAACCCAATCATTTCATTCCATATTTTACTCTTTTTGTTAAAATTTTTTGGAGACCTTTATTTTCGAGATTTCCTTCTTTAAGTAGTAGCTCTTTTTTTTTCAGAAGTATAGTTTTCTAACTTGAAAG